CCTTGGTCAGTCTCAGAGAAAGTACAGGTATTTGTGTTCAACATGTAAGAAGTAGAAAGTACAGGTATTTGGGTTCGAACATGTAAGAAGTAGAAAGTACAGGTATTTGTGTTCAACATGTAAGAAGTAGAAAGTACAGGTATTTGGGTTCAACATGTAAGAAGTAGAAAGTACAGGTTTTTGTGTAAGAATTAAAAAGTAGTCAGAAAAATAAGTAGTGGAGTAAAGTACTGATAATAGAAAAATGTACAGTAACAAAGTATTTGTACTCCACCACTTCCCACCTCTGTGTATCACATGTTGTCAGAAGCAGTCAGTGGTTGTTGAACATCCTCCAAAGACTGACTGGTTCTGACTCTCCTGAGCCGAGTAGAAATAATGACAACATCTGCCTCTGTTATTTACTCCAATTTACAAGCGAATGAGCCGTGGCGCCCACAGGAAGCCGCTGAGCGCCGGAAAAACCCTCCGAGAGTCTGCCATCCATAGGAAATTAATGTTAGTCATGTTTCAAAAGAGTCTTGATTGTTTGTGAGAATCTGTGTTTTTATTACAAGGTTTCATCTCAGATTTGTTTTTTATTTTTGAGTGATGACACATAATACTGGGAAATGATGACTAGCTTGATTGACGTCACTTTGCTTAATATCATGAAACACAATTGACCTCTAAACTCATATCTTGTTGCTTCAATAAAATGGAAAATGGAGGAACATCCTGGAAGCTTGTCTTGTTGTTTATTGTGAGCTAGTGTGAGTCTTTTTTTAAATGTAACTACTATACATACTACTTGACCTCTGAATGAACGTCCTGTTACGGAAAATCTGTGCTAATTCACTGGTTTATTGAATTGTGTGTGTTTTCAAGTCTGGTTCTTGTTTCTTTCATGTACATTTCCTATTTTGTTGTTTTTTGCAGAAATGCTGGTAGAAAAAGTGAATTAAAGTGTTTATTTCCTGCAGACAGAAACAGAAACAGAACAACAGGCTGACAGCTGGACGGGATTTCTGCACAATATATAATCCAGCAGCTCGTCTGGATCTGTGACCTGTTGGTCGTTTCATGATGTGAAACGACAATAGGAGTCATTTACAGAAAAATGTCTGCAGAGAGAGGGGAAATCACACGGATCAAAACACAGCATTTTGTCCTGCGCTGGTAAAAGACAATTATTATTTATTATTTATTTATTTATTTATTTATTCATTTATTTATTTAACAGGGACAGTGCACATTAATCAACATTTCTGTAAATGTGCCAAGAGTCCCTGGACAGAATTTGTAATTCAACCTAAAGACACATTTCATTTTAAACAAGTAAATACAATCAAATAAAAACATGCATCATACAGTACTGGAAATTGAAATAAAAAAAAAAAAACAGAACAATTTTTTTTTTTTATTTCAATTTCCAGTACTGTATGATGCATGTTTTTATTTGATTGTATTTACTTGTTTAAAATGAAATGTGTCTTTAGGTNGTGTGCCTTGGCAGTCTCAGCAATCTTAGTATGGCCCCTTGCCTGAGACCAATTTGCCATGGGAGACCCTACCAGGAACACAAGGTTCCAGACAACACAGCCCCCAGGTTCATCAGGGCACACAAACCTCTCTACCACGGTAAGGTGCTGGTTCTTCATGTTGTGTGATAAACAGAGAAATGCAAATGTCTGATTCAACATTTTTACATCATATTTCTGTTATATATGTGAATATCTCTTACATTGATGTACCCCAAAAAACGACATGTTGGGATTTCATAAGCTTGCATCCACTTGAATGTAGTTGAAATTATTTAAAACTTAAAAGTGCATTCACACCCAACTGTTTTAGGATATGCTTGGATGTTAAACTTCTATATTATCAATGCAGAAAATGCTAAAAATAAGAAGCAAATCATGTCAAACTCACAACGATTTCCAGTAAGGATGTTTGTCATGTGTGTTCCTGCAGCTCTCCGGCTTGTTCACAAGTCTGGTTGTCCTGATTGTCCTGCTGCTGATTGGCCCGCTCTTCTACTTCCTACCAAAGGTGTGTTTTTATGTGTGTGTCCGTACAAGAGCGAGAGAAAGAAACAGAAGAAAAGTGAATTTACCTTATCCATTATTTCTCTCCCCAGGCAGTGTTGGCATGCATCAATGTGACCAGCCTCAGGCAGATGTTCCTGCAGTTCCAGGACTTACCTGAACTGTGGAGAATCAGCAAGATTGACTTGGTGAGGCTTTGGATCAAAACAGCAATATGAGATATACAAGTGTATTCTGCTATACAGTCCCTGTGCATGTGAAACACAAGAGTGAAATACAGATGGTTAATTAGCTCCCTAGCTACCATTAGGTAAACAACTGACCCATAAAGCACAGCTAATTGGCTTTTTTGTAATATCTTCACATATCAGCTCATGTTATCCTGCTCAGCCTGTGGTCATTTACAACAAAAAAACGGTGCTTATTTTAGCTAATTTGGAGTAAAATATACTGTTGTTTCAGCAATATATTGTACCTCTTATTTGGTGTTTAAATAAAAAACAACTACTCAAGGCTGAAATTCAAATTGTGAATAATTTAGTTTACTTGTCATTAAGCTGGAGTTGTGTAAACTTGCACAGTTTGTCATGTACATTGTTCATTGTTATATTCCGACATGACAACACTCTGTTGTTCTGGCCTGTCTAGATGGTGTGGGTGGTTACCTGGCTCTCTGTAGTGGTACTGAACGTGGATCTTGGCCTCGCTATCGGAGTGGTTTTCTCGATGATGACCGTCATCTGCCGCACACAAAGGTACATTTTCCATCCCCTTTGCTGAAAAACTGTGGTGCCTCTGAACTCAAATGAATCACAGAGAAACATTGAATCCATTCATACCTGTAAGGCTACGTAGATGATATGTTGTATTGAGTTCAATTAAAGTGGATGGCCTATGGTTCTAACAGGGCAGGCTGTTCAGTGCTTGGTCGGGCCAGCAACACAGAAATTTACCGACCTCTGGAGAACCACAACAAGGTGAGAAGACTCTCTTATTGCTTCATACTCCTTTGTTTTTTTTATCACATAGGAGAGCAGCATGTTTAATAAGACTTAGATTTGGGCACATCAAATGTCAAATGTTATTCCAACAAGTGATAATCATATTCTCAGAGGTGATGCCACCTTTCCAAGAATGAAGTTAGGACGCTCCTGTTTTCTTTTCAGTGCTATGAGGTACCTGGAGTGAAGATCCTGACATACAACGGGCCTATTTACTACGGGAACCGTAGCTTCTTCAGGGAGGAGATGAGCAAGCTGCTGGGCCTGACGCCAGAGAAGATCCGCAGCCGAGAAAAAGCTAGAAAAGCCCTGGAGAAAAGAGAGAGAGACGCCACCGTCAGCACTGTGGTAAAAATACTATTCTATAATAAAAGAATGAGCTGAGTTAAAAATAAAACAATACTCAGTGAAATAAAATGTAAGTGTCTAATGTTTTGTTTTTTTCTCCCTTCATTGTTGTTTAGGAGAGAGGCATTGCAAACACATTGTTTTCTTCAGAAAATGAGTTCTTCAAATCTGGTAAGTAATGAACAATTTTGGATGGAATAAAGGCACCCATAAAGGTTATTTGATCATGTTGAAAAACACTGTTATATTTAAACATTTCCAGACCTGTTTCCAGACCTGTGTTTCAGAAAATGTCAAGTTTTTCTTTCATTTTCCCTTTTCTTTCTGTAGAAACATCAGAGATTGATGTTCAGGCAGTGCTAATCGATTGCAGCAGTGTGACATTTGTTGATGTTGCTGGAGCAAGACTTTTTGTACAAGTTAGTACTCTCCCAATGCAACACTGAATGCTTTTACATTCAATTTATAGGTTTATCTAAATTGTTTGTGCATTGACATAATTAATTGGTTGGGCTCTTTGCAGATGTGTTCTGAATGCCAGAAAGTTGGAGTTCATGTATATCTGTCAAACTGCAATGGTAAGGCCTATGTTTCAGAATTACTTTATTTATTATTAATGATTCCATCCACTGTTTTCTCTGTTGAAACTAGTTCACAGCTTGCACACAGTGAATGATCAATGTTTTCCGTCCCCTCAGAGAGTGTCTTAAAGATCCTAACGTCGAGTGGTCTAATGACCTACATGAACCCTCAACATATTTTTGTCACTGTTCATGATGCAGTGATGTATATTCAACAGCAGAAGGTAAGCTATAATACATGCATTTTTACAAATACACAAAATGTTCATTAAAGTATTAAACAAACGATGCAACTTCTGTTGTCTGTTGCAGGAAAAACCTCCAGAGAACACCACGACTGTTTGGGTATGAGCCAGGAGGAAAGTGATGAGTCATACTCTGACGAAGGCACACTGCAATAAGACTTCAGCAGGGACTCTGTCTCTCAGCTGCATAGCAATGCTCCACTATTTGATCCATACTTCACTATATTATAAAGAAGCAGTAGCCTGTTTTAGCACTATGTCATGAATAACAATAATTGTAACATTACAGTGTTAACAGTATTATCACGGATACTGGATTCACTCCTGGCACACATTACATTTCTGAGGGCTTTAAAGTATGCAGATACTAGAGACGTACTCATATATTCGGTCCAAAAAAAAGAAGAAATAAACAAATATGTTATTTTTGACTTATTCCTATAGAACTGTATATTGCAGAGTTTTTTTTTGTCTTTTATTTTCTTATATGCTGGAATATTAGCACAGTGGTATTTATTTAGTTTCTGTTGGTTGTTTGCAATACTGATGAATATAAAGTGCACTGAATAGTTTCTTAAAATACTTTACTTTACTGTGTATTTATATATTTTTGAAATATGTGCTTGACTATGCAACTATGTACAAAAAGATCTCACTGCCTTAAAATGTGTATGTATTTTAACTCCAGAGAGACTGCACAGATTTTATTAATTACTTTTGTATTTGTCAAACGTTTTGACAATAAATATATCTTCAAACCTGACCTTTTTGTTGATTTGAATTACATTTAGTATCAGCGAAAATGGCTTGTAGATTTCTACATCACTTGGATACCACATAGCTACTAAGGGCAAATACAATTAAAGGTATAGGTAGTTTGGAATTTGAAGCATGCTGCTGTCAGATTTTGAAAAGAGAAAGAGAGCCGTCTTTGTATTTGGTGAGACCTGTGTGTCTGCACTGAGAAATAATAAAAACTAGAACATACAGGATTCACAGGAGACTTTTCTTTTTGCCATAGCAGGTGTAAGCTGGGCCACAGGTCATCAGTCCTGCAGAATTCTGGTTTATTTAAAATGCAAGCCATGCTATACATTATTACAAACCTGTTATTCCTTGATATGAAATGTATGGATCTGGTGCATCTACTGCTAAATGAAAATGTGTACAATATATAACAAAGTATGACAAAACATTCTGTAATTAGATGTTTTATCAGGGGATGTAAATGTCCTTAGATGAATAGAAATTGATGCCTTACCTCAACACTGTGCTGCCCTCTGCTGTCCTGACTCCTGACAGTTAGAGGTTTTCCCCCCACTGCTCATCATCACAATCCCATTACCTTGACCTGATAAAACTATACGTAGTACGAGTTCAAAACCAGGTTGAAAAAGGAAAAAACTAATTATTTCCTTGCTTGATGTTGGATAGCCAAGTTATTAATTTTTTCCAGTGCATATTTCAAAGAGGCCTCTAGACAGTGTACCCTTTGGGTTTTCCTTTAAAGCTCAAGGAGTGTTTCACTAATTGGCAGGAAGTAGTCCACTTCAATTAGAACATGGTACACAAGGCTCTGGCCAAATGTTTACTAAGCCAGATTCCACCGGCAGACCTACTAACGTGCGCACACACAGACACACACATATTCAGAAAGTTGCCATAGGAACTCCTCGGGGAAGTTCAGAGATTTGATGACAAAGCTTTGATTTACCTTTGATAAAGTGCTTACAGGTAACATGTAAAGCATGTGTTATGGAAAGGTTAGTTGACCTAGACATACCTAAAGACAAAAAATAAACAAACAAAAAATAAACACAATAAAAAAAACTGTGTCAAATGTACAAAAGGATCAAACTAAAAGTAATATCTGGTATTTCTAATTGATGCAATTTCTACAGAAACAGCAAGCAATTTAATGTACCATAAACCAAGAGTGGTCATAGTCATACAATTATACAATCATTACACCTATTACTTCTGCAACTGTCACTCCTAATTATAACAATGATGCTACAATGATAATAATGTTATGTTCCTCTTGACAAAGCAGAGGGTTTTTCAGCTTATTGGGATCTTTCCTGTGATCTTTTGTTTCCATCTTGTGGTGAAACATTGTAATGACAGCTGATGTCTCAGCATGTTCTTTATCCTGGAGGGTCACATGACTTTCTAGAGACATAGTAAGCTGTCACCTAATTAACAAAAACGTAAAGGTTTATTTACTTGTTTTTTTAATTTTTGTTGGAGTCAAACACAAGTACAAATCACACGTGGTTGTTAAACCGAACAATATAAATTAGCTGAAAAGGAAACAATGATACAAAAAATTAAAGCAAAAAATGCAGGTAGAGCTTTACATCTAATCAAGGTTCATCGCTGATGCATTTCAGTCGAAGGCTTTTTCTAAAGCATTAACCGTATTAACCGTAAATACTGTTGTAAACATGAATCACACCATTAGACATCTGTCTTTGGGAAATATATGGTGGAACTTTACTTCCCTAAAAGACTGAGGAGAGAATTGTTGCTCATGGCTTCTATTGAATTACATAGCACATATTTTCTGTTATGGTTGCTGTTTTGTGCTTTGGAAATAAGGACTTTAAGAGCTCATTTAGTTTTTACTTTATAGGTTGTTCAGCAAGTACCCATATTGACTACAGTTGTAGAGTTGCAATTAACAAACTGGGCAGTAGAAACATTCTTTTTGGTTTAATGGGTGTAGTAGGGCGTAGGGTGTTACCTTTCAGAGAAGCAAGCCAACTACTGTCTTTACATCTGTATTTTTTCCCACTTACAGAGCAACATGCACAAATAAATGATCTGTTACTGTGACACTACAAAAAAATAAATACATTATTGACATTTTCCAGCAATTACCAAAGATTTTGTTTTAAATAAAATACATTCAACACCATCGAGTTAACTCTAGAGCGGAGATTCAAGGGGGGTAAGACAACCGGATAAAAATGATGATCAGCTAAAGAAATTAGATATCCATTCAAAAGTCTGTTTTCTAGTTACAGATAAGATTGTACTCCTTACCCTTACTCCAATTGATTTTAGTGCAAATTAACCTTGAACATACTGGTTAAAAACAAGCCAATATATCAATGCTTATGGATCACTTGAATTCATGAATGCGGCCACAGATTATTTAGATCTATCATCTATCTCTGTGATGAAGGACCAAATAACCATACAAGGAAACCATAACCACTTATTAAACAGTTAAGGTAATTACAGAATGCAAGCTTATCAGATAGGGCTGTGGTTGTGTGTCTTATAGTAAAGAACCACTGCAAGTCACAGTAATTATGGCAAAAAACACAAAAAAAAACACATGATACTTTCAGTGCATTAATAGTTGAGGTTAGTCTGTTAGAACTTCTCTGTCTGTAACATGAGTCGTAATCTGGTCACATAACACAATCTGTCCACACAATCCGTTAAACAGCAAGTGCAAAAGTAATTTTCGGCAGTCTTTACGTGAGAATAAAAGATGAACTCACATTATGGCAGCAAAAAGACCAACACTATGGTTTATTTACTGGTCTCACATTTGAACCTGTACTTGAAGTAGAAGACTTCCTGATGAACGTTATGGTCATTACTGGAAGGTGAATAGCGGAATTTATCATAGGTCTTTTGTGATTCTGTTTTAGTCCAGGGTAGCTGGATCTTTGATGCATGGTTGACAATGATGTCACTACACGAGCCAATGTGGAGGGAGCCCAGGCCGTCGATGAAAAACTCTGCAGTGCCAAAAGAAAATGTTGTTTTCAAAAATCCTTTTGTTTCTTTAACATTGTTGCATTCTGAAGTAACTGAACAGTGTTGTACTGCATAGCGAAAATAGCCAAATAAACTGATATGTTAATACATTTGATAGAGAACGTTACTGATATACTCACCCAGATGACCTTGCCGTGCCAGGCGGGGGTTAAAGCCCACCTGCTGCACCTTGTCTGTCCTCCCCATGAAGAAGTTGATGACGGCATCTGCTACCACACAGTTGGGAAATCCTTCTATGACATGGTGGTAGCCTTTTCTGATATGTAAACAGTCGCCCTCCTCTCCGCCCTCTTCCACTGAAATGGTGTGACGGTATGTAGCAGTGTAGCCTGTCGCCTCCCTAACTGATCCAGCCACCTAGTCATACAAAAATGTTGAGATCATTTATCAAAACGTTAAATAAGAATGTATAGATGGACACAATAAGGTCAAACATGCACAATAAGATTATTAAAAAAAACTTGATACAAGGTCTAAAGTTATTTTACATTATTAAGATATTATCTGGAAGAGAACTCACTGCTATATAGTTTCTCTTGGAATAAAACATTGTACATTTTCCATTTATATAATCTGTTCAATATTTAATATTCCATCCGTCATATGTGTATATTTATGTATATATAATACCTTGTTAAATTCAACATGTATATTTTCTACTTTCTAATTTTTATTTTACAATGCCATGTCTTTTTATGCTGCTGCAACGCAAACATTTCCCAAATTGGGATCAATAAAGTACTATCTTATCTTATGTTATTAAACAGAGGGAATTAGGAAATATCCTTACTTGTCAGGCTATAATCAGAATTTCCCCCTAAAGATGATTTGATTTTCAAAATAGTCTGTTTTTATTTTTCTGTTAATAGACTTATTCGTACGACGACTATTGTTTCTTCTCTATAAACCAAGCATGTAATGCCTGCTATTCTTATGACTATATGTTGTGATGTAAGAACTGGTCTATGCAGAGTTGTGAACAATTCTGTGCAGACAGGATGAAGTGAGATAAGGTGTCAGGGCTGAATAAATGTGATAAATGTGTCATACACATTCTAATGTCTCACCAGATCCAGAGTGGTCTTTTCTAAGATGTCCACCATCTGCTCCAGCTTGGTGTTTGTGGTGAAGAAGAAGTCGTCATCCACCCAGAGCACATACTTGGTGGTCACTTGAGACACTGCAAGGTTTCTGCCCGCAAACCAGCCCTGTACACAATAAATGAAGTCCGATCAGCATATTAACCCTGCTCTGCTGATTAATCACAATGATCATTCGTAGACACATAGCAACCATTCTCTACCTTTCCAAATGGCATGATGTAATGGTCAATGTGAGGCCCGGTCACTGGCTGAGGGTGTTCATTATCATCTGCTATCACTATGGTGACGGTGGGATAATATTTGCGTATGCTGTCAATAAGCTCTTTTAATTTGTCATAGCGTAGAAAGGTCTTGGTGGCGATGGTTACGAGAGCACTAATATTGTATTCTGAGTAGAAACAAGAAAAAAGGTTTAAAAATAACACTGAAGTGCCTTTTATATATTGTGCTTCTAATCAAATTGTTAATAATATAACTGCTAACAAACCTTTTTGATATCCAGTGTTGTAAAGTGTAGGAATAGTTCCATGTCCGACTTTAATCGTGAAAAATGACTGGTGACCATCAGTGGCAAAATGAACTGCAGAACAAATATTGACAAAGAGATAAAGCAGAGCATATTTATATTTATAGAAACATTACCACTGAGCAGTAGGAAGAAAGTTTGAATAACTAAAGATTACATTTGTATTTTTTACATGGTAATTTACCTGTATCTGCTGTCTTGGGATGGAAAACAGTGTTTGTGTATGTGACGAACTGCAGCTGCCTGTTCAGAGCAGGGAGATGAGAACTAGACAGTATCATGTGCTTTTCTCCCACTCCTTTAACAGAGACCTCGTCCACTGTGGCAGCGACATCAAAAACTCCCAGTGTAGCTGTCAAATATACCTGTTACACCAATTGCATGGTTTTGGGGAATAGAATAAACACAATTTTTGAACATTTAGACCAAAAACCGATGCTATATCAGCCATGGTGAAAAAATAAATGAAGCAATTACTCTATGGTTTGATCCTTTTTCTTCTTTAAGACCCAGACCTAAGGGGAAAAAAAAAACAATAACTACAGGGGATATCAGACGGGATGATGGTGAAGCGTTTAACTCAGACACTTAAATAATAAATAAAAGCACCAAAATGAAAGGAAACAACATAATGTTCAAACTGTGTTATCATGTGCAGTGTCAATCTGGATATGCTGTTACCAGGAATGATGATGGTTTTGAGGGGGCGCACCTCCACGCCCTGTGTAGGATACTGGAGAGGACTGTTGGCTTCAGCTACAATAAGAACATCTGCGGGAGTGTAGGACCTGTACAAACAGAACATATTAGAGAAGTACCTGCATTGCTTCAACACTGTCAAACTGTCAAAAAAAGTCCAGTCCTATTTATTTACATGGGTCACCTAATAATAATAATAATAATAATAATTAAAACTGCGGTCGCACTTGTGCGCGCAGTGATGAGAGGGCCCTCGCGTCCGTGCGCCTGTCGGGGAGGGCGGCCGGTCGTCCCGGCGTCAAGCAGACGCGCGCGAGTCCTCGGAAATGAGCCGTTTGTCATTTCTCTAATTTCGCGTCCCAGACTCCCAGGTCCTCGGTTATGGCTAGAAAGGATCCGTCTAGTGTAAATATGACGTCACGTTCTCGTTGTAACTCTCGTTGTAATCGGAGCGGCTCGGAAACACATCTACAGCAGTAACATGATGCAACATACACATTAATGCAGCAGCAATATTAATAGAGAAACATCAGACATAATAGTAAAACACTGCAAGGGAACATTTTATTGCACCAGGAGCTATCTTGGGACTTTTACTGCGACAACGTTGACTTGTCTGTGAATACAAAATAAACCATAGTGTTGGTGATCTACAGTGTTGTCATTCTTCTTTGAACACCAGCAAGACCGCTAACACCCTATTTCAACAATCACACTCCCTGTAATTGACATAATTAAAAGATAGTTTAGCTTCTCATCATCATTTGCTGTGGCCCACTGATGTTAACGATCGTAACTGAAAGGCTGCCTGCCAAACGTAAACATTCAGCCATGTGACATTCAGCCAAACTCTCGCGAGAGTTTTACACAAGACGGATCCTTTCTAG